ATATATGATCAAAAAACATATCAAGAAAAGTATACATCTATTTGTAAGTCAACATTCACCCTTTCAACCTTAACTCATCACATATTGTGTTATAATAGTATTTTTTGACGATAAAGACTGCCTTCTTATTCACAGTAAAACGCATACATGTACATGGTTATACTTACATGACAAGAACAGAAATAACTTTCTCAAATATAATTGCATGATTATTATAAACAAATTTTAATTATAAAAGTTTGTTTTCAAAACATGATGAAAATTGATTAATAAAATGTTAATTTGATGAGTTCATGTCCTGGTTAAAAATGTGTTAATACCAAACGTTTCCATTTCGATTGTAATAGGATATGTCAGCATTGTGAATAATTCTGTGAAATAGGAAAGGAGCTGCGCAAATATCACCGACATAATTCATTGTTATAAACATACACTGTTATGGCGTGGGACAGATGTTTTATTTTGCTGTAACTTATCCTCGTGTCTAAAGATAAACAAAACTGTACAGAATGTAAAAGCGAAGTTTCTCAAGACATTCATTCAAAATAATGTAGGGATGGCCAGCCCGAAATTCTTTTTTTCGTTAGAAGTACTGTTGTATAAAAACAGCACTTGCAATTATTATGAACCCATATCGTTCCAAATCAATGTAGGTGAAAAAATAGAAAAAAAACACAATCAAGTGAAATATTTACAACTGTTGCAAAAATATGTCTGCCACCAAATGGTACTGCACTTTCTTACATAACTAAACTCTATACATATCAATCTACATTTTTGTAGTTGGTCCCGTTACTGTTACCCTGTCCCCACCTGACACTACCTACACCAAGACTGAGGGGGACACGTTACCGGACATCACCTGTACCGCTGACTGTAGACCTGGCTGTACCTTTGTCTGGACAAGACCTGACAACACCAACTTTCCTGCCTCAGCTGTGTTGTCACTAGGGCAACTGAACAGATCAGAACGCGGGACGTACAGGTGTACGGCTAGGAATGTTGTCAGAGAGTTGACCACAGTTACAAGTGTAACCATATTATGTAAGTTTTCATCTGTGTAATTAAAATATTTGCTGCTGCTATTGTTACCTGATCTTAATTACTTGCTTTTTTTTTACATTTATTTTTGAAAG